CTGCCGCCGACCCCTGCTCCGACCCCTGCAGAATACTGTGTTTTACACAGTTTTCTGCTTCTCCCATTTTTCCGGCTTTGTGGTTGAAGATGGGTCACCATGGCCCAACATAGGCCCAAATAATGCTGGAAATGCGTGCCGCGTGGGTGGCTGCTGGGCCCACGTCCACACCCACAACCAACAACAACGACGACAACAACAACAACAACAACAACAACACCAACAACAACAACCACAACAAGAGCAACCTCAACAACAACTACACACAACAACAACCACAACAACAACAACAACAACAACAACAACAACAACCTCAACCCCCACACCACACCACCACCACAACAACAACAACAACCACCACGACAACAACAACAACAACAACAACAACCACAACCACAACCACAACCACAACCACAACCACAAGCACACCACCACCAACAACAACAACAACGACAACAACAACGCCCCCGTGCCCTTTTTCCGTGCCCCCTCCCCGTTGCTTGGGCCCCTGGCCGGCTGTCGGGCGTAAGCCCTTAAATCCGGCCAGGGGCCCGGGAGGCCCCAAGGCCGTGTCCTTGCCGTAGGCCATCTCTCTTCTCCGTAGGAGAGAGGGGAGTGCCGCCCCCGCCGCCGACCATGCGCCGACCTACCGAAGCTATCGCGTTTTACAGTGTTTTTGGCTTGTCCCATTTTTCCGGCTTTGTGGGTCACCATGGCCCAACATAGGCCCAAATAATGCTGGAAATGCGTGCCGCACCGGGGTGCTTCGTCTGCGTCGTGGGCGGATGCTGGGCTAACATGGGCCACATAGCCCCAACATGGGCCAACATAGCCCCCAAGATGGGCCAACATAGCCCCAACATAGCGACAAGATGGGCTAGCGCAGCTCCCACGATGCCCGGATAGCCCCCAAGATACGCCAACATCGACCCAAGCTGGGCCAACAAAGCAACAACAACAACAACCACAACAACAACAACAACAACAACCACAACAACCACAACAACAACAACCACAACAACAACAACAACCACAACCACAACCACAACCACACCCACACCCACAACCAACAACAACAACAACAACAACAACAACAACAACAACACCACCAACCCCCTAGCCCCCGTGCCCTTTTTCCCTGCCCCCTCCCCTTTGCTTGGGCCCCTGGCCGGCTGTCGGGCGTAAGCCCTTAAATAACCTTCGGTTACCACTGAAGGCCCTCCGGGCATGCCACGGGCTTCCTGGCCGGCGCCCGGATTTTTGGACCCCAGGAAAATACTTTCTGAGGTACGGTGGATCCGTGGATCCTTTTGGGGCCTGATCTCACGGTGGATCCTTTATTCCGAAGACTTCTTCTTCCAGCAGCAAGGCACATTATAGGAACATGTTGGCGGAACAAATCCACCTCGGATGAAGAAACCTTCGGCACCTCTCCTGTTTTGGATCTACCAGCTGGAATGCTGGTACGTTGAGGCACTTACAGTATCTAACAGTCCAAAAGTCCATACAAATACTGCATCATACTGCTTATGGCTGGCTTCTGATCATTGTTGATGTGAATCTTCCAATCTAACAGCTAACATCCCTGATGAAATTCGGGCTCTTTGCCAAGCCCAGATATACCTTCTCGAAGGTACTCCCCCCAACACCACCCACTCTTCGGCCTCAGGACGGGCCGCGACGCGCGGCCGAAGGGCGAGGCGGCCGAGGCCGAGACCAACGGCCGCCTGGAGGAACGGCGGAGGAACGACCGGGGTGACCGGGGTGATGGAGATGTTTGACCTCAGCTGTAGCGTGTGACTCACCACGTGGCGCTGTGATTGCTCCCATGGCGAGAGAACAGGATCTGATGTTGATACTTGAGAGATGCTGACATACTCATGACTCATGACATAATTTTGGAATTCAACATTCTCAAGCAAAAATCTTGCAGGAGTACCCCTGCCCACCTCAATGATAAGTTATTTTGGATGAACCTCCCCCATGCTAAAATAATGTTTCAGTTAGTTACTGTAAGAAGGTAGTCAGGTAGTGAAATTGATTCTTAATTTAATGTGTTATACCACGGTACCCTCCCGTTAAGATAAAGGGTATGATTTGGGGTCAAAAGTGTTGGAATATTCGGGAGAAAGAGCAAGAGAGGTGCAAGATGTCCTTGGGCGGGTTGGGCAACCCAAAGCTGAAACCCAAAACTATGGACCCCTTGGAAACAGCTTGAGTGCTTCTTTGACTGCCGAAACCCAAGATATTGGGCACGAGATGCGTCGCATCATCACACAGTGTATATGAGTCAGCGTCAAAACTATCCTCATGTAGTTTTAACGGGTGTGTTTCACGCAGCTAGCGTCTTTTGTGTTGTTCTCGAACAAACAGATAGGGGACGCCCTAAAAAGGATACCTCTAAGACTTGCAGTGCCGCCAGTGAGATGGGAAGATCCTGAGAGAGTTGTCAGAGCTTGGAGCCGTTTTGGTCTGCACAGTGGGGGTCTACTCAGCTTGACCTTGTTCATGGGAAGAGCTCGGGAAAGAGTGCGGATCCGTTTTTGCTTCTATATATGTATGGGCGATTTCAACGATACCTGAACGATACCCCACAAGGTACATTGTCTCAGCCAAATGACAAGATCCCCATATTTTGGTGCTGCTGCTGCTTTGGCTGGTGCTGGCTGGCTGCTTTTGCTGCTGCTGGCCGCTGGCTGCTTTGCTGCTGCTAGCTTCTGCTTGCTGCTCTGCTGCTGCTGGCTTGCCGGTGTTCCTGCTGCTGGCTTGCTGCCCCTCTTGGTGCACTAGTTGCTGGTCTGCTGCTGCTAGACTGCTGCTGCTACTCACCCGTTGTTGCTGACCAACGGCTCGTGGATTCAAATGGCTTCAGGATTACGGATCATGCTTGTACCAAAACTTGGGAAACGAAGGGAACGCCCTAATTTACCAATGAATACAGACCCCAAACATTTAATTTTGACGCTGGTTAATATCGGGATCTTTCGAACATGCAAGATGCTTGCCTTTTTGGCACAGACATGCTGCACTGTTGGACGATCTAGGTATAATTATTGAGATATATTGAGCAGGGCTCTCATGTTGCAACCGGAACCACGATTTAGATTGAAAGTGTCGAAGAGCACTGGCAGAGGAAGGTGCAGATCGATCAACGCGACTGCAGATCTTTAGTTGCTTCTTGTCACACCATTTTCTTCAGGGGAGGCCATCGGTAGCACCGCAGAACCGGCATCATGTGTATATGCGCGCGTCCAATGGCTCCTACCATATAATCTTGCAGTTATAAGTAAGTTTAACTTTAGTCAGGGAACTACAAGTAAACTTGTATTTCGATAACAGAACTTGTATTAGGATAAGTATGTATAACTATAGTTATACTTGAGGAACTTAACATAAAGTTATAATTTAGTAAGGATAGAACAAGTTAGATGTAAGTAAATTATAAGTAAACCGGGTGTAGTTAGGTGGAAGTTATAACTTAGTTAGGTCTGAGTTATACAAAGTTATTTCTAGTTATTCATAGTTACAAAACTAAGTTTCACCAAAAAAAAGTTTGAGAAAATTTTGGCTCAAGTGTCCCTGAAATAGGATTTGAGGCATGTCGACCGTTGCGGAGGCAATGGCAAAGACACGAAGGCAGCAACAGGACTACACGCGCTTTGATAGTTTCTTGACGGCGGCAGATTGGACACATCTGAGCCGTTGGGGCACGCATTATATATAACATATTGATACGCTTTAAATCTATATCCTTTTTTCTGTCTATATATATGTTTGTATCTATAACATTCTGTACATATACAAATATATGTTTTCGGAGTATTCCTTTGTCGGCCGTTTGTCGGCCCACGTCAGAATACCGTTGCCGTTCGCCATGTCGGCCCGTGTCGGCCATATGTCGGCCCCAACACACGTATACATAACACACACCCCAGGGTTGCATTTCTATGTGTCGGCCGTTTGTTGGCCCTTTGTCGGCCACCCGTTGTCAAGAAAATCGTTTCTGCAATCACTTTGAGCTGCTCCAACCGCGCGCGCGCGCTTCTATACGGTGTTTTGTTTCCAGTGCGTCATGGACACCGCGGAGATCTCGGAGGCAACGGACGTGGCGGCTGACGGCCGCTACTGCAAGCTGTGTCACCGGACGCTCCCTGCGACCGCACTTGGCAAGACTGGTGGCGACAGATTGATCAAAGTATCGACTGTATTCACTGAAGCGGACGCGTCGGATAGCATTCTGGTAAGATACCTCTGTTCGCATCCGGAAAAAAGGCGTCCTCTTTAAAAAAAGAAGGTATAGTTAGTTCTTAGTTATAAGTAAGTTATGAACTACTTATGGAACTTATAAAACTTAGTTATAACTTCAAGTTATTACTAAGATATAACTGACTTCTTCTAGGGTAAGTTAGTTATAACTAACTAAAGAACAACTAAAAGATTATAAGGTATAAAAAGGGCAGGACCCGGATTTGTTCAAATCTGGCAATCCGTTGGCCACAATCCTGAGCAACCTGCGCTTGGAGGGCTGCCATCCTTTGAGACGGAACTGAGAGATGTCATTCGGAAGCTGGCGATCTCCGCTTGGTTTCCCCTAGTTTAGCGTTGAACAACTTGCCCTGTCTCAACTGACTTCAGCGCGCCGATGTCGTACATCCTCCCCGAGTCTGACGAGTGTGAGCCGGAAGAAGAGGCCGGAGTGTGACCCTTTTCAACTCCTTGGTTTTTGACCAATTCAAGGGCCGTCGCTCCTTCTGACAGGAGCAAACAGGGTGCCAGCAAATGTGCCCGACAGGGCCCTTCGCCAACAGCGTGTTCTCTGCCATCAGGGATCAAGTTGCCCGACTGGATCCAATTGCCGACTACAGCAAATCGCCGCGTGCGAATCAGCCTGGACCAGATTTGGGCCCATTGCGTTGCCGAACACAGCAAGCGGTACACCTGTCACCTTCGTCCGGCATTTTCCGCCGGCCCCCGGCGACTGTTTCAATAATTGGCGCCAGAAGGATTGCGCGCTGACAAGACTGTGTTACAGGAACACCTGTCGATCACCAACATGGCTTCCAAAAGAAGCAACCATATGTCCTCCTGTCCCTTGCATGTGGGTCTGCGGGTGAATATCACAAAGAAATGTCACTGGGGTTCAAAACTGGGAGCCGTTGCGTCTGGGAGGCGCTACGAGGCTTCGAAGAGAGTTTCTTGTTGAATCACTGGGCCAATCATCAAGCAGGATTTCGGTCTGAGACCACATCACCATCGTCCGCATTGAGAGCCATGCTTCCCATCGTCATTGCTCTACTTGAGCAGGTCCTAGCGCACTTTCGGCACATGACACGGCCAGAGCGAGACGGAGTGATTCATCGCAGGGGTGGGCAGCACAGTACTACTGGCACTGCAGTTCTACCGCCACTTGTGCAAGAGTATCCCGCGGAAATCATTGCCATTCATGTGCATCCAGAAGAACGCTACGGCATACCGGGTCGCCTGCTCTGCCACACGGAATTGGAATACTTGCCGTTTACCATCCGTGTGGAGGCCTTTTTTTTGAAACAGTGTCCTGCAGTCTAAGGTTTGTATGGCCTGCGCGTTGCAAGATCGGGCGCGACAAACATGAAAGTTGCCCTGAAAATCAGCTACTGCAATTTCGAAGAATTGATAGCAAATTTTCCCTAGTTTTCGGAGATAGCTAAAAAATTGATGCAAGTTGGTTGCTTTTCTCAAGGCCAACTCTTAAGAATTATCTGCAAGTTGTATTGAAAAAGAAACAAAAGGAAACATATGTTTTCATGTTGTGTGTTTTTCCTGCGTGTGTGGAGTACTTGCGCACTTCTTCGCTGCGGAGTTACTTTTGCAATCATGCATCTGGTTGGAAATGCATCTGCTTCTGTCACCATCAAGGACCATGATTTCCAAGGCCTGCTGGTGAAACCTGGCCCTTGTCTTAGATCTGAAGACTGATCATGAAGACACTCTGGTGAAGTGCGGCTTGAGGGGTGGAGAGAGAAGAAAAGGAGTCCTCTTGGATGTCTCACTTTTGCACTCTTTGTGGCTGCGCCTGTGCAGTCTTTGGAGTTACTTTTGTGCTTTTGGTGGCCGTGCCTGTGCACTCTGTGGAAGTAGTTGTTGCTCAACTTGTGTAATAATTTGCGACAAGTTTTGCGGCAATTTTCTTTAAACGAGTTGGCAATTTCCATGACGATTTGTTTCATTCTACATTGCGAGTGCGCGTGAGAATTTGATTGTTTCGATCAAACAGGCAACTTTGGTTAAACTGTTCATGAAGGTTTTTTGAGATTTTGTTGTTTTCTGCAAAATGTCGTAACCATTTACGTTTAAATTGGTTCCAACTGGCGCGGCCATTTGAATTGTCACGAAGGTTGTTTCTTCGTGAGTGTTTCTTGACCATTTTCTGTGTTTTTCATGATACAAATGATTTAATCACATCATTCCTTGCAGTAGTGGCATTACTTTTGTATATACATTTACAGTATTGTTTTTGCACCTGTGTGGTGTATTTGTTGCATGTGTGGTGTTACGTTGGCACATCCTTGTGATTCATTGTGCATGAAGCATTGTTGTAGTGTATCCCAACACTAGCAACAATACACAAATTCGGCAACAACAACCGTAGGTGAATGTTGACCCAAACAAAGCCCACAATCGCAGATCATATGGGTAGTATTCAGAAATTCAACATTCAATGTTCATGTTCACTGTTTCTGTTTTTTGTCTCTCTCATGCGGCCAAAAAACGCGCCGCTGCTGCTCATCCGTCCTCTGGTTCCGTTCCTTTTCATGTGCACCATTGGGGTCGTCTCAAGGGCTTATTGAAATGGTTCCAAGTAAGTCGACAATTGGTCACGGAGAATTCGCTGCAATCCTGTGCCATTGAGGCTCGCACTATTCGGCCACACTCTTTCTGCAGATGGAGCTCCTTGGAGAAGGAATGTTGGAAGTTCGTTCATCGGCTCCAGCCCCCTTAACTTTGAAGGGTTTTCGGGAATTACTTTCTTTGTTCAGGAATTCAGAAGGGCATGTTCATGCATGTTTCCCCGATACAATCATGCCCATGAAAAAACAGGTTGTGCATGTGGTGGTGATTTGGTTGTGTGTCCCCACACTGGCCGGCAGGAACGACATGTCAACGCGTTGGCCGCCCGGTGAGATGTCCCGTCGTCATCCTGCGTTGGCCGCTCTCCGCTGCTGATGAAGGAGGAGGAAGCCCCCGATTTGCAGCAAAGAAGTGAGAATCCATCCGTGCAATTCCGTGCATACGTATACGTATTTTTTCTTTCACCTCTGCCGAAGACGGTAAGTCTGTGGCTGGCATTGCAGTCAATTCCTAATTGGCACACGTATACGTGTTTAAATGGAATATTCCCAGTGAAAGAAGTGAGAGCTTAGAGTCTGAGCACAGTTGGGCACAATCTGACATCCAGAAAAAGCCTGCAATGAGGGCCTATGTCATATGTGGTGTTTGTTGTGAGGCGATTCCATTGATCCAAGTGGTTCCCAAACTGAGGTTGTGTAAAGACAAGACCTTGCAGCATTGGATCGCAGAGTACAATGCCGACCATGCCAATCAGAAGAGGCGGGGCACGGACCGTACAAACTTGGCGCCTTGGTGTCTCAGAGGTTCTTGGTGCCTCTTGTTCCTCATCCTGAGATGTTGATCTCAGTCACCAGTTTCTCTTCATCCAACAGTTCTTAGTGAAGGGAAGTTCTCCCTGCACTAGTTCAAACATGTTCAAACCAGCACATGTTTTTGTTCCTTTCCAGGACCCAGTTGTAAAAGTAGTTGTGTGCGATGTTCCCGGCGTCACTGACGACATGGTCACCACTTAGTTTATGTACCAGGACCCTGTTGTGGTGTGATTCATAGACAGCTCATCTAAGGATTAATTTTCTTTGACTGAGACCCTTCATCCTTGGGTATCCGGGGGTATCTTGAGCCACGATGAGCCCAAATAGCAAGGTGTGAAGTGTGAAATTACATGTAACAATATACATCCTGGAAGTCCAAAGACTATATTTTGACCGACTGAAGTAAAGGAAATTCCTTTTTGGGTCACCTAAAGACCATTCTTTTTATAGTCTTTGACTCCCAGGGTACAATATATACATCATGTTATATACTTCTTTCAGGATCTCCCTCACCAAACTGACGACCACCCCATCTTCGAGGTTTGAAGAAGCGAAGAAGATCCTGGTGCAATGCCTTCGCGCGCTGGCGTACCTCCACTCGCACAACTGCGCCCTGGCCGTGTTTGGGTCGGTCGCGTGTTTTGGGTTGGAGATCGACCCTGGAAGAGCCCTAGGGCTCCAGTCGTACCTCAAGGTATGGACCCGAGCATGGCACCCACCCCAGTCCCACCGAAACGAAATGAAAGTACGACTGGAGCCCCAAAACAGGCGATGAAAGTTTGGGAACCCCAAAACATGTCATGTTTTGGGGTTAATGTCCGAAAAACTCTGGGTCCGGGTGTTTGTAGAGCAACAATCGCATATGGTTTCATTGGTTCTCTTTTGAGATTGTTGTTGGGGGGGGGGGTTGGTGGGAAATGTAGAGGAAACACCTTCTGCCAACGCAGTCACATCCCCAGTTCGCCCAGTTCGCCAGCTCAAGCTGTTGACTTGGCAGGATGAACATCCAAGAGCTTGTTTTTTTGAGCAAACAAAGGATCACGAATCCTGGACCTCGTCTCTTTTTGTTGAGCCTTCCCGGACGCCGGATGTTCTTTGTTTTGAACGTAACTGAGACCAATTATATATAATATATATAGTATATAGGTCTGGGTGAGGGGACTCAAAAGCACATCAAAACTGTAGGTGGTGGAGTGTTCATTTGCATTGGGGTATGGCAAACTACTCCTCTTTAATATCTATGTTTGTTCCCTTGGCCTTGGCCATCCTTCTTCATCAAGAAAAAACCCACTCAAAAGAACAAAATCTTCATCAATGTCGGGCATTCCTGCACCTTTCCCACCCGCATCACCAAATTGATGTGCCAACTTCAATGATTCAACACCCCAAACCACCCCAAACCACCACGACCTCTTTCCAACCTGTCTTCGCATCACGTCAACGGATCTCTTCGCTCCTCACGCCTTTGTGGCGGTCGCCAGGTGTTCATCGCGACGTGAAGCCTTCGAACCTCCTCTTCGGGCAGGACGAGGCGCTCCGTCGTCCCGTGGCCGTGGCCGTGAACGGTCGCTGTTCTTCGTGCACCTCTCGGTGCACGGGTGGACAAGAGATGTTCCAGCCATCGAGGTGCACGTCGACTGGAGTTGACCAGTAGAACTTAAAATCATATGTTTCAACATCTGAGAACATCCCCAGACGCGACCCATGGGACTGGTGTATTTGCCGATCAGTTGGGGTGGTTTCAGGGGTCAATGTAGGCGGCATATGACAGGTCAATGTGGTGTCTGGGAACATCGTGAAGCGCTTCTTCAGATCAACTTGTGAATTCCGCTTCAGATCGAAGCGATCCGCTTCCGATCCGCTCCGCTTCCGATCCGATCTCCGTGGGGTCAGCTCACGACCCAAACCGATCGATCCGAGCGACGTCCGGGGCCGAAGCAGCTCACGTCCCGAGCGGTGGATCACGCGTCGTTGCGCTGACGTGAAACAACAACGAGCAGAAGCTGCACGGAAGGACGGGAGGACCGACCTGAGGACCTGAGGACCCGAGAAAGCCCCGAAAGCTCGGCTCCAGTGTTTCTGCTCTGAGCCGAGAGTCTGGTCACCTCTCAAGAGCTAGTCTTAATTATATGTTTAGTTTATAGGTGGTCAATGCAGCATCATCAGCATCATGCAATTTCCTAAAAACTGGTCACCTTAAGATAATGGCCTTTTTTGCGGATTGGAGCTATAGATTCCGAACGATTTGGTCTTTTTTCGTTCCAAGCTGCCGCGGCGGGATTGCCATGTAATTCAGGGACAAGGTGTGCGAAACGAGGTGTTCAATTCGATCGCAGACCCTCCAAACCTCCAACTGGTTGAGGAGAGCCTCTCTCCCAAGAGCCCTCCAGGATCAAGCACGGCTGTATCCCTTTTGCTTCCTCTACGACTATGCCGTTTTCCATGATCATGAGGGGCTACAGAAATATCCACACTTTCAAGGAAGGTCTCAACATGTGTCAACGTCCGAATCGCACGAACATCCTGGAAACAGCACCTACCAGGGGTCACAAGACGGGGTGGTTTTTAGTCCCATCCAGTGAGTGGATCATGGGCACCCCTAACCTCCATGGATCGCACCCCGTCGAACGTGACTGCTGGTAGAAGCAAGTTTCATGCAGAACATCCCTCCTGAAAGACCTAGGATGAGGCCTTCCTTCCACCACTCGCGCTCTGAATCTCCAGGCCCTCCGCTTGGCTGACTTTGGCCTGGCCAAGTGGTTGGAATTCAGCCGGGGGCCACCAGAGGGAATTCCAACGTGTTGTTGACGACCTTGGATGTTGATTTTGTAACATTTCATGGGCCCAAACACCCACATTACCTGTAACAGTCCGTAAAGACATATTTTACAGAAAAGCCTGCAACTGAACCATCCAGGATCCACTGTTGCAGGGAATAGGAGATACGCAACCCCCACAAAACACATTGGTTTCGTGGCCCATGCCAGGTTGGTCCGATAGAGATGACTGCCACGAGTGACCTCACCGCCTCGCATCACCACCTTGCCCTGTGGGCACCGGAGGGTTTGGTGACCAGCAAAGGAATACAAAGGGTGAAAACAAAAAACAACAATATTAATTACATTCCCTACACCTCCAAGTACCTCCTCAGAAGGCATGACTGGACCTTCCAAACCCACCCCAAACACCTCAGAAGGTACTTGGAGGCCTAGGGATTGGTTCAGTTAAATGTATTTCAGATGACATGCTTTCACAGTACATACGTTGTTTCATTTTTCTGTTGCTAAGAACACATCTAAGCCTCAAACACCGATTGTCTTTGTTCATAACAAATCAATGGGCGGTATTCACTGGCCGCGAGATATTCACTGCCCAGCTTACGTAAACACTCATGTTGGAGTGACAGGAATAGACCCTGGCAGAGGGTCTCCTAAGTATTACTTCACCCGATTGAATGTTTTTTTTCTCTCTCTCTCTCTCTCTCTTTCTTTGTCCCTCTCTCTTTTGCAGCTTGGATTTGGCCAATCTATGATGATCTATGATGGTTTTCCGGGTGAATCCAATCACATCCATGCGGCGCCTTTTTTTCAAATAATGTCTTGTCTCAAGATCATGAAGTGCTGAAAACGACACCCACGTGATGTTTCAAAAGAGGACACACGAGTCTTCTTCGGACCACTTTTGGCAACGTCTGTCATCTGGAGACCAACCTCCTACAAGGCTGAGACCCAGTGCTCTTCCGTCCCATCCACACACGGAACTACTCGAGTGATGGGAGTGACCGAAGTGATTTTACGACGAAATGGATTGTTCTTAATGAATCCTGGTATTGCGGATCAGGTGATTCTTGGTGTTCCTTATGGAGAAATCCACCTCGGCTTCCTGGGGCATATTCTCGAAATAGTCTTTTCCCAGCTTCCTGGGAACCGCAAATCCAAGCTTAGTATATATAGACTGCTTGGATCTGCTTGGTGTTCTTTTCAGGTGCTGCCTCACCTCGTTTACCTGCAAGGCACTTGACGATTGGATGTACGGCGGGTCGACGGGTGGCGGTTGGAGATACATCGAGAGAAGACCTGTAGGACTTTATAGGGCTAGGGCCAGGGGTTGTTCTATGCAGCAACACCGTCTGTTTTGGGTACCCAATACAGGTCCAAACACGATTGGTCACATGTTTACTGTTGATACTCCTGGTTCTACCAGTAAGTGGTTCCAAACGATGTTTTACCCAAGACGCCCCACTGGTTTTGTAGTTGCTAGCAGTCAGATTACTCCCTGAAACAAACACGGAAAAGGACAATGACCCCTTGGAAGACTACGTTCCTCTACGAACAGGTGGTTTTCCGCATGTTAGTTCCAGGGAGTGTAGTCATGATCGTTTTTGGAACCAATTTTACCTCGGAACCACCGCAAGGTTTGCGTATTCTCCATTGGAAGTGTGTAGGCCTCGGACCGCTCCATGATTTCAAATTCGCAGGAGGGTGTTCAGCATCATGTGACAAAGAAACCCCAAACATTGCAGATTTGATTGTCACAAGGCCGATGACCAAAAAAGATCCTAGGGACAACTATAGGAAAACCCATTGAACCCGTCCGCGAGCGCACGGCAGGTCGAGTAGGGTTTGCAAAGTGCTTCAATATGCTGACTTAGAACCGTTTGAATGTGATTGTTGAGTTGGTTGGCGTTTGAGTCTTTCACATGAAGTGCCCTCAACACTTGCGACGACTACGATTGCATAGGAGCGTTGCATATATATATATATAGATATATGCGGGCATGCTCCAAACCCTGGCGAAAGATAGACGACTCACAAAAACGCGATACTCTTTGACACAGTTCCAAAACATTGTAAAACGATTGGGGACGATCAAATCTGAAGATGCAGCAGCCGGGACTATCATTGCTTTGACCAACCAAGAAAAGAAGAATTGCCAGGACCTTCAAAGTGACCTAACTTGAGATCCCAGTTTGAGGTCACTTAGTCCATAAAGAGGTCCCTTACAGACTCCAAAGAGGTCACGAACGGAAGGTCCTGACACCTGATCCTGACACCACCTTGAGTTCCTCGTGAAGGTGGGGGTCCACAAATTGGACACCTCCCGAAAATATGATGGGGTTTCAAGAGGGCCCCTACGACCATGGAGAACCTCCAGGAGAACCACAGGCCTGAACGTGGAGGGATGCTTCAAAAGGTTTTGTGTTCAATATTTGTACAACATTTTGTGAAGCCATACTGTGCCGCCAGAAAAAAGCATCCTAGCCAGGACCCACTGTCGGGGTGGCTAATGGACACCCCGAATCACCTCTATACGGAGCTATAATTAGACACCCCGAAATGGGGGTCCTGGAGGGGAGCCGTTCTTGATGGGGCAAAATGCACCCTCCCTCACAACATCTCAAGACACTTCGATCGTGGTGCTCATCTTCGCCGCGTTTCCATCGACAGGTGACCTGGTGGCTCTAAGGGGTACGACATGTGGTGTCCCATTCTACACATCGGAGATCTGGTGTTCATGCCGTATTTGGTTAGACATTCAGAACAAGAACAAGTTGAGCCCACGCCTGCAGCTTAAAACGAGTGTGGTTGATTCTATTCCGAAAAGGATGCACGTTTTACTAAGTCACGGTCATTGACGGAGGTGTTCACAACGATCGACCGATACGGATCGGATGGACATGACGACCCCATTTTTGAGCGCCGATGCAGGGTTCTGCATGGATCATCCGAGGTAGAAATCCGCATCCCATGGTTTCTACAAGTGTTTGATATATCGCCCTGCTTGGTTTTGATCAAGGCATTTTTGATGTTTAGACGGTTAGAGCTTCCCATGTGAACAAACGATTCACTGCGAAAGAGACTCATTTCTGGCCTCTGACACGTGTAGAGGGATAGTAAAGACATCCACTTTAAGTGGTATTCAACCATCCACCGAAGTTCGCTTCCGACATGGCATCCTTTTAATCAACGATCACAGATGGTACTCATTGCCAGTGACCTACATAGAGGACCCACCTGTGATCCTCCCGCTGCGATGCAGCGTGGTTTCCAGCGCCGGTGGTCAGCGCCACGGCAGCCGGTCGCCGGTCGGCGTCTGATGCGGAGCTCAAGAGTGACTTGGACGGTGATTGCGAGGGCCGGTTTAAGGTCTCTGAATCGATGAATATCGGTTTAAGGCCGGTTTAAGGTACAGTATTTATGTCCGTATGTCATCTCATAGTCTAAGTCCCTCTGGACCACAGGTCCAGGTAATATTCTGAAAACCCATTGACCTCGTAGTGTGTTTGATATGGTCAAATCAACATGAGGTCAGTTCCTCACTTTTGGGGCCAGAAACTGACCCGGAAGGATGCCATCCGATGCCGCTGTCCTCATTGGACGCAAACGCCGCTATCAGATGGGAGATGTCCGTCAGATGGCCTGCCAGGAGAAATGCTATACTCCTAAGTCATCCTAAGTACCCTTTCTTTAAGGTACGAGGCTTTTTTGCTCGTGCCACTGGTGTATCAACCCTGAAAATGAAAACAGCTCGTTTGTAGGAAAAGTGCTCGGGTGCTCTTTTTCTCATCCCTTTGCACCACATCCAGCACCTGCACACTTGCTCTGCCTCATCAAGAAGCATCTTCAGCCAGCCGGGGCTCTCAGAGAATGTCCAAGCATGGGTATTGTGGGGTTTGCAGTGACACAGTCCATGACTCTCAGGACATCTTAGGACATCCTCCTTTTAAAGTGGCGGTTGTAAGACATCAAGGAAATTGTCATCACTCTTCTAACTACTTGACGGTTCGAAGCAACACGTCTTGCTGAGCGGGAGATTCTCCCAACATAATCTTCATCACTCCAGCACGCAAAGCTTAATATCGAGAAAACTTTCTCATCCGGATTGTTCGGGAGCTGCATCTCCATTGATCGCCTTGGTGTAGGTTTTGGATCCTGGGGTTGAGCTACAGGGTGCCAGGTTTGAGGTTGGCAACAAATGGAGTCTAGATTGACCAAGAGACACCATGTGCGGGATCAAATGTACCTAGACTGCTAAGATGTGTCAGGTCTTTCCTGCACTCCATAGGTTTGGATCTTGAGTCAAAACAAAAACAAAATTACTTTCTTACACACAAGGTTCCTTGGGGCGTATCTTGTAATATCGCAACTTCCTCTCAGCACAGAGAGCTGCCAACCCAGTGTATCCTTCCTCAGCTAAGGCCCTAATATATATATATATATTTTTAATATATATTGTTTGGGGGGACATAAAAACCCTTTCCATGTACATCCAAGATTCACCCATGCAGTACCCACAATTGATAACCTCCCTTGCAAGGTCAGGTGGTAACCAAATACCCGAGTGGTACAAGATATGGAAGAAGGAGTTGGCCATGCGGAGAGTCCAGGTTGACAAGTCAAGGAGGCCCCTGTCAACCGCAGCCTCACTTGTTTTGTGTCACCCCTGTGGGTTTGTAAAAACCTTTTCATTTCTCCACCTCAAAAAGAGTAACCAGAACCCTGGTAATGCAATGCTAAAGGCCATTGAGGGGCAACAGTGTCCAAGCTAATCCCCTCCAACTCCTGTTGGAGCCACTTGCACAGTAGGGCAGTGTCAAATGCTTTTCCGCATCCTCGTGGAAACTGGTGGCTCCTTAGGGCAGGCCAGGTTTACCAGTCTATACGATGATTGCCCCAAGTGGACACAGAAACCCTGCAGCTAAGATTCGTTTGGATCTTGAACTTCTTCAAAGAGAACTCTGTTATTGATGTTGTGCACTTGTTTGAAGAACACCATGTGTAGAAATGTTCATACGCTTCATCCAAGCGTGCTTGCAAACTCCGCCCTGGGTAGACCCGCAAGTAGTCGGCCAAAAGCAGAATTGTGGATGATGCCATGTCTCCACCAACTCCCAAACTCCACACATGCATGACATCTGGCCGAATTGAGTCCACGCAGTTGCCCCCAGGAGCACGCCTAAGTGGACTAACCTTGTTTTTGAACACCTGGTCCACAGCACCAGTCCAGGTCCTTGCTTGTGAAGATGGGCCAACGTCCCACCAGGCCTGGGCAAAGAGCCGGGGATGGATTTGGCCCAAACGATTGGGATGTTTCAGAGTGGGTAAAAGGGTGCAAACACATAAAAGGAACAGTATCCTTAATAGCTTGTCCAAATATCTGCACTTGGGCAGAGGTGACAGATTTGCTTTGATCGGTAGCCAACACGCATCCACATGGCTTTACGAAGCCATGGCCAATCACCCTTGATGGCCAGCAGCACCAGGTTGAACTTTCTTTTTTCCTCTCCCACCTGACCAATTAGTAGCAAGCATGCTCAACCCTTTTTCTAGGGAACTGTAAACAAACAACAAATGAAATGAAAGAAGATGTTGATCATACCAGGGGACTTGGCAAAGGATACCGTTCTCGAATAGACGAACCAGGTCATCCGACATAGCGTTCAAAAGGCCTTCCAACGACACATCATTCTTTGCATACCAGGTAGAAGGAAGCAAGGAGAATAGAAGACGCGTTGTAAATGAATGCCTCACCGGGAGAACCACAACAGATCATGTCCAGCCCCCTCCAATCCCCCAAAGATTTATTATTACATCAGCAGTCTCAAATTCAAAAAGAATTTAAGGTATTGTTTTTGCCATGGGGCTCTTTCTGGTTCAAGTTGGTAGGCCCACTGGATGGTATGAGCACCTGGAACGATAGTACCAATAGGGGTGCCTTTGCCGCACCACGGCCTTCGTCTCCATGCAGGGCTATCGGCACACATCTTTTCCTTTCTTCGGGGTTTTTTGAGGAATATATGGGATGGCTTGGCTGGAACCCGGCATAGGCTGACCAAAAGTCTTCAAACATAGCCTCATACTTCGCAGCTTCAAGCAACCCAAAGCCTCCCAAGAAAAACTTTGGAAAGCATGACATAAGCGATGAAAACCAGCTGGAAAGGTGAAGCACAGGATATGCAACCATGGTCTCCACCACCTTCCTTGCCCGGTTGTGGTTCCTTCTGAAACAGCGCACTCGGACATCAATCGTGGAAATGGCAACATTGAAGCAAGAG